CTCATTAATGCCACCTCCGAGGGTACAGGAGACCACATCAGCAGTAATATTTTTAGACCGATTGTTAACGTTCACCCTCCTATGCCAGCTCCTGTGGGTTTCGCCGCTGAGTCACTGCTGGAATTTTCTGAAGCCTTGCCCAAGAGGACAAAGGCACCCGAGCCTGGTGACGGCGAGAGCCTCGCACCGGATGGGGCCCTGCGTGGAGGATGCCGAGCGAGAGCTCAGCTTGGGAGATGAGGCCCAGACACCCCGTCGGGTGCTGCCACATAACGGGAAACGTCCCGGAGAGACGCGGGCGGGAGCTAGGACTCCTGTCTGAGATAGGAGGCCGTGAGCCCTCCCTCCTCCTCCCAACCTTTGGTTCCGGCTGTCTGTCCCACATCACCCTGAAGGCCCAGGTCGGACTGGGAGCGCGATACTCCGCCCGGACCCCGGTCCTCAACTCTTCACCCACCCAACTCCGGGCGAGCTCCGAGCCTACCTCCTGCCACTGGCTCTGGGTCCCAGGTCCAGGTCCCTGACATTGCCTTCCCTGACCTCGACCCCTGGGGCAGTTTCATTCACAGTGACTGTCCTTGCAGCCACCACCTCACCCAGGAGGGCCCCACTGTCACGAGGCTTCCCAGAAGCCTCCCCCTCCCCACGGACCACCTGTCCGTCCAGCCGATCAGCACACACGGAGGTGGCAAGAGATGGGAGAGACCTTGTGGTGCAGTGATGCGGCGTCAGGCCTGCTACCCATCACTCAGGAAATACTTAACAAAGAGCCATGACCAGGCTCCATGCTACATGCTGGGAATACAGCTGTGGAGGCCTGGGTGGCCCGGGCAGACGGCAGGAGACCCTGGGCCCGGATGTCCATGCCACACACCGGAGCCCAGCCCCACTTTGGATGCTGTCCGAGGGGCTGTTTGGAAGCACAGCAGCGACAGAAGCAAAATGCAGAGGCCGTCCCTCCCAGCCCCAGCCATCAGCCTGCACCCCCGTGGGAGCAGCCCCGCAGAGCACCCTGGTCAACAGCCGGGCAGAGGCCAGGGTGTGCGCAGGCCTGTCTCCCAGGGGCCTCCACAGAAGGGGAAGAGACAGGACAGGCCCTTGGCACTGCTACCCAGGCACCTGGTCTGCCAGGCTTCTGCACAGGCATCGCCAGGAGCCTTGGTTTCCCAGGTAGACGCTCAGTCACCCACTGCCTGCAGAGCTGTGCCACATGCGGGAGTCACCTGGGGAAGGTAGGGGGACGATCCATCGGGCAGCACAGTGGTGAGCTGAGGCCTGCCTGTCACCTGCCCTGGCCTCCGGGGACCTCGGCGAGGCCACACGTGGCCTCTGGCTCAGGAGCCCGAGCTGTCCATGGAGACACCCTGACCGAAGTGCTCTCGCCCAGCACACGAGGGTTGTGCACGTGGGAACGCAGGTTAGAAGGGCAATGCAGAGCCCGGGCTGTATTCCGGCAGCTGCCGCTTTTGGCCCTTGGCGACGCCTGTGGGCCTACATCCTTGTCTCCCCAGCAGGAGCGGCGCCGGTACCCATTTCCCAGGGCTGTGGGGCATTCAAGTCAGGTGATGCACTCAGCGCAGGAAGCAGTGGGTAAAGCTGGCTGGTCATTGCCACTGCATCCCCATCCCCGATCCCATCCACAGGGCAGCCCTGTCTAGAAGGAAGGGACCCCTCTCCCCCCACCCCCCCAAAGCGCCACATGCAAACAACAGTGGCCTTGAAGGCACAACACTCAAAAGCAGACTCCACTCGGACACCTATGTGGCAGAAGGCCCCACCCAAGAGAAAGGCCCGGGGGCCCGGCTCAGGCTAAGACCCATCGGAAGCTGTCCCAACGCAAAACCCCAGCGCAGTGACCAAGCTGCGAGTGGCACCCTGTCTCATCTGTCTTCCTTTAATTGTCATGGGGATTTTTATTCCCTGAGGTTCCCTTCGGTGCCTAACACAGCGCCTGGCACACAGCAAGCGCTCCACGCTGGTTGCATGAACTTAACCAAGTTTTCCCAGAGGAGCCCTGCCACCTCCGACCCTGCCGCCCTCACGTGTAAAGCTGCCGCTGCCTGGGGCCACACAGCACCCCGCCCAGTCCGAGGAGGAGGTCTGTGCGGAGAAAGCAGGGCCCCAGGCTGTCTGCAGGGACAGCTCCAGGCTGCCCAGAGCCCCCGGAGGAAGAGGAGCTGCTGGTCCTCAGGCGGAGGCGTGTGGGCACTGAGTGGGCTGCGTGTTCCCGCACTGCTGGCTGCTGGCAAGCAGCTGGCGGTGGGAGGGCCACAGCCCACGGCAGCAGGCAGCACCCGGCATGGGCTTCCCAGGAGGCCGGGAACAGAGAGAGAAGGCACGGCCATCCCCACAGCTCCATACTCGAGGACACACGGGTCCAGGGACGGGTGTGTCTCCGGGATCAGGGAGAAAGGTGTGGGCATGCAAACCCTGCCTACAGCCAGACCGCACCCCGGGACCCTCCTCCCCCATCCCTGTGAACGCAAGGGCCACGCTGCAGTCCCTCCCGGATCCACAAAATCACTCTGTGTATCACCGAGTGTGTGTGGTGGGAGGAGAAGCAAACCCCACTCCCACTTCAGAGGCAGCGGCAGTACGGCCCGCTGGGGGGTGGGAAAGCTGGGAGGGCAGGCTGCACCCGAGCTATTTTTTATTAAAGAATAGTTGAGCCGAAACCGGTTTGGCTCAGTGGATAGAGCGTTGGTCTGCAGACTGAAGGGTCCCAGGTTCGATTCCGGTCAAGGGCTGCAGGCACATCCCCAGTAGGAGGTGTGCAGGAGGCAGTTGATGGATGTTTCTCTCTCTCATCGATGTTTCTAACTTTCTGTCCCTCTCCCTTCCTCTCTGTAAAAAAATCAATAAAATATATATTTTTTAAAAGAGTAGCTGACACACGCTATTATGGCAGCTTCAGGTGTACGACGTAGTGATTGGGCGTTCACATACCTTACAGCATGTACCTTCTATACCTTAATAAGTCTCGTACCCATCTGTCTCCACGCAGTTATTGCCATCATATTGACTATCTCCCCTGGGCTGCACATGACATCCCTGTGCCTTACTCATTTTATAACTGGAAGTTTGCACCTTTGTTTCCCCATCACCTTTTCCACCCATGTCCCAGCCCCCACCCCTGCCATCATCAGTGTGATCTCTGTATCTCTGAGTCTGTTCTGTGTTGTGTTTTAGAATACACATATAAGAGGGATCACACGGCATATCTGTCTTTCTCTGTCTGACTTTACTTCACTGAGCACAATTCTCTCCGAGTCCATCCGTGTGGCTGCAAATGGCAGGGTTTCACTCTTTTTTTTTTCTTTTTTTCATATTGCTGAGTAATAACCCAGGCTATTTTTTACAGCTCCATTTCACAGTCACTTTCAGGCCGAGGTCTCCCAGGCCCACGATGGCCCTCCTTCAGGTCTGGGTGCGGTGGCTACGTTGCAGGGGGACCCTCATAGCAAAGGCAACCCGGAGCCAAGGAAGGGCCACACCCCAACCCGACTCGGTGAAAGCCAGAGCCCCGGTCAGCCGCCAGCCACCACAGACAGGTGGCCACTTCCTGGGAGCTCTTCGGTCTTTTGCCCGGACACAGGGGAGCAGAGCACAAGGTCAGCTTTGCGGGCCACCCGGGCCGGCTTCAGAATACTCCACAAAAGCAGCCACCCCAGCCTCCCGGCCAAGATCTGCAAGCATAGAACCCAGCGGTGACACCACACTTCCTCCGCCGGCCTTTCTGGAAAACCCGAGCCGGCTGAAGGCCAGGACTTCAAGCAATCCTACCTTGACCCAGAGGCAGCCACTGAAGGCCAAGCTTTTCCCTACCCACAACCAAATCAAAAACAAAAAATAAAAACCCAACCCCCAGTCCAATGGGCTTTTACTGAAGTTAAGTGGGCATTATAATGTCAGCAGATGCTGCAGCACCAGGCCCTGCAAAGTATCCTAAGCAAAGAGCTGCACCAAACAGGGTGGCGGCCGGAGGAATCAACAAGACGGCACCTGGCTGCCATGGCGGCCGGTGTCGGAGGGGGGAAGGCTGGCAGCTCAGGGACTCCTTGGGCACCAGCAGCCAATGGCTGCCCCCCCTCCACCCTTGCAAAGTAGCTGCTGCCAGTGTTCTTGTGACTGAGGCATACCGTAATTCACAGAAAGCCAAACACGTAGATTTAAGGATGCATGCAGCATTTCTTTAAGTTCACGTTTCTTCCTGACTGCTCCAAGACTAGCATCTGGCCAGCCCTCCCCCTGATGCCCCTGGAGGGAAATAAACGGGCAGCGGGAGGGTCTGAGCCGAAGCTGTCCCAAGGGGGGTCAAGAAGCCCCTTCCTCCTGTCCCCGGGGACTCCCTCACAGTGATAGGAGGCCCTCAAGGGGAGTGGCTCCTCCTTGATCCACTGGGTTACCCTCAACACAAAGGGCCTCTCCCTCCATAGCCCAGTTACCCCAACCCCGCCGACCCCCTCCCGGGATCAATGCCCTGAACCTATGCGAAGCCAACGCCAATATCCCAGGACCACTCAGCCTCCCCTGCCGTGACTCAGAGGGCCACCCAGAGCTCCCTGCTCCTCAAAGGCGCTGAGACACAGAGCCGAGACCTTCAGCCATCAGCCCTGAGGTCCCCTCCCCCTCCCCCTCCCCCAAATGTTTTGCTTCATCATCTCTGAGACAGGCCTGGCCACCAGGGGGGCTTGTCTGGGTCTCCTCCTCTGCCTGAGGCTGGCACCTCGGGGACCTCTCTCGGGGCCACCCGAGACTGACAACTCCGGGGTGCCTGGCGGGATCAGTGAGGGGCCGTGCCTGCCGTTACGGGCGACCATCCGTCCTGCACGCTCACAGCCAGCGTTCCCAGCCCTCGCAGCACAGCTCCATGTTGTGCGTGTGCGGCGGTGGGGGACGCTGAGGGGAAGGAACAACTGTTGCTGCGGGCATCTCCGCTCGCCACCCATGCGCCCCCCTCCCCCCCTCCCCGCCCTGCCGACTCATTCCCGGCCACTCACCGGAGTGTGTGCTGCTCTGGGCTGAGGAATCTGCGTCCTGGGTGCTCCAGATCCGGTCCCAGCCCGTGAGGCTGAGGGACTGCAGGCCAAGGGACAAGTCATTTGCATCTGGGAGGCCCCGGGGAGAGTCTTGCGCAGAGGTGGGGAAGAGCATCCTGCTTGCGACTGCGTCTTCGGAGTCCGGGAAGTCTGCTTCGGACAGGAGGACAGCAAAACCCCAGAGTTAAGGGCTGTTTGGCCCCCAGGATTATCGCCAATAAATATCAATAAAATAATAATAACAGTTTCCCCAGGCTCAAGGGCCAGACATCCACGCGGGCTGGATGCTGCAGCGGCCGCCTCTGCACTTTTGGGGGCGTCAGAGCAAGAGCAGCGGCCATCCAGCCCCCTCCCCACGCACGCACACACCCCTATCCCGTCTGCATTACAGGCAGCATGTGACCAGGCTGCTGATGCTTCCCGCTGCCAGTGACATCAGCCGGCGGGGCGTGCATCGAGAGCGGCACCATCCCTCACAGAACGGAACGGAACGGAACGGGGAGGAGCGGGAGGGGGGACGGCAGGGAGGAGACTTGCCTCCCAGGGAGAAGGCGGCACAACAGCTACTTGCAGCAGCAGCCGGGCGTGGTGCGGAGCCGCCGGTAAGTCGGGGTCTCCGGCGATGGTGGCCGGTGGCCCTCGGGCAGGACGGAGTGGTCCTTGCCGCCGCCGAAGCTGCTGCGACTGCCGGCTCCTGTGGCGCTGCCCTCCTGCCCGCCCCTCCCGTTTCTTCCCTCCGCTCTCCACCCCTAAACCCAAAAACACTCTAGTCCTGGACTCCCTCCAGCTGCTTGCTCAAGCCCTGGCTTTGCAGCTGAATGCAAAGCGCCGGGATCCTGCTGGCAGAAGCCTGCGTGCCGCAAGTGGGCCTCCCCCCCCCCCCCCCCCCCCCCCGGCGGGCGGGCGGCACCCTGAAACAGCAGGGCTGCCACCAAGGGAGGGGAGCCTCCAGAGAAACACGGCACACGTGCACCGTGCTCCCAGCACCACCACCTGGTGCTCCAGGCGTGTCCACAGCGGCCGGTCACAGGGAAGAGGGTCAGTGTGGGCAGCGGGAGGGGGAGTTACCGGGCTGTTGGAGTTATCCCACAGCCCAGTAAGAAGATCTGCCCTGAGATAATCCGGTCCCGGGTCCCCTCACCCCAAAAGGGTGGGCACTGTCACAAGCACCTATATCCGGCCCAGTGCCTCCCTCATCCCACTAACTGTAGGCCTACGTAGGCTAAACACGCCCGCGTCTGACACACCAGAACACGAGACACAGGCTCAGAAGTGGCCTCACGCCCACCACGCCCGGTTCGGCACCTCGCATCGCCCGCTCTGCCTGTCCAGGGGCCTCATCGCCATCTGCCAGCTGTGGGCATCACTGAGGCCGCCGGCTGCCTGCGTCCCCTCTCCTCAGGGTGCTGCTGGGAACCAAGGCTCTACTCCCATGACCACTCACAGCTCCAGCCACAGAGGCTGGCTCTGCCCAGAGCTTTTAGACCCTCCGCCACCTCGTCCTCGACAGCATCCTCTTGGCATCGGTCTTTTTCCAACCAGACGTGGCAGGCCAACCTGGGACCGCCCGCCCGCCTGCCTGTGACAGGGTCCGAGGTGGGCAGAGACAGGCACGATGCTATCAGCCACGGGAGTGCCGGCCAGCGCCTCCTGGAGCCCACAGGCCCCGGCTCAGCCTCCGGGGGAATGGCCGGTCTGTGCGAGGGACTCCTCCCTGGGAGGGTTCTCTTACAGCTCTGCTGCTGTGTCATCCGCCCCGCTGTCCTGCCTGGCTCCCTGTCTGTGCCTGCGAGGCCCTGGTCCAGCACTGCAGAGGCTGCTCCCCCACCCAGCCTGTCTGCCCTCCACGGCCACCCTTCCCCCGAGCTGAGGACACGCTTTTAAAACAATCTGTGTGTGTTCATGACGAGACATCATGCTTTCTTCAAAAACGTCCACCTTGAAGGACCCATTCCTCCCTAAGCCAGCTATCTGTCCAGCCCCCGCTTCGGCCCCAATGGGAAGGCATCTTTGCCCAGAAGCCACTGGCCCCGCTTTCCCTAAAACCAGGGCATCTGTGCACAGGGTGAGCCCATTACCCGGGGGGTGGGGGTGAGGGCCCGGAGGGTCTAATCAGGGACTATTCTCTCGCAGCCCAAAGGCCAGGTGGCGCAGCAGCAGGCCCGGCCCGGCGTCCCTGGAGCCTGCTGTGCATACAGAACCTCAGGACCCACTTGAGGCCTGTGGAATCCATCCGTGTTCCAACCATTCCAACGTGAAGGAAGTTGGAGCATTACTGACCTGTACAGCCCACGCCCGCTTCCCCCCCGCCGGCCGCCCTGGGCCGCAGCGGTGGGCCTGCGGGAGGACGCTGGGGACCTACGGCCACGCTCACGCACCCAGGAGCCTGTGGGTCTGAGTTCACACCCCTCGGCCATCGCTGCGGCACCCCCACCGCAGATGCCACCCTCATTGTGTCCTTTTCCCTCGCCCTGCTTCTTCCACGCAAAGGATGCCTTCACTACAATCCTAGTCCTAACATCAAGAGGCCTGGGAAGCTGGAACCAGTGTGGCTCAGTGGATAGAGCGTCGGCCTGCGGACTCAAGAGTCTCAGGTTCGATTCTGGTCAAGGGCATGGACCTTGGTTGTGGACGCATCCCCAGTGGGGGGTGTGCAAGAGGCAGCTGATGGATGATTCTCTCTCATCGATGTTTCTAACTCTCTATCCCTCTCTCTTTCTCTCTGTAAAAAACCAATCAATAAAATATATTTTTTTAAAGGGGGGGGGGGGGCTGGGAAAAGGAACTCACTTTCTAAGTCTGATCGGCCCTGCTTTGCTCCCAGCTCCGCGCTGTGTGAGCTCAGCCGAGTCACTTAGCCTCTCTGGGCATCTTCTCCTCTGCAAAGCAGCCGCCTATCGGGTATTTCGTGAGAACTGCACAGAGCAGTCGGTACAGGGGCTGGCACAGGTATTTGTATCAGGATCTCCCTTCCGTCAGGGTGACCGTATAATTTACCCCTCGAACCAAAAGACACTTCGGAGAGAGAAGGGGGCAAACTCACGGCAGGACAGCAGGTCACACAGGACAGTCCTGGGTGGAAGGCAGGCTTGATCGCTCTGCAGCCATCTGTGGCCCGAAACGTTTTACTCAAAAACCTCCTTTCTGACGCCCCACTGGTCCTCTTTCCAAACGCGCCCGGTCTGCTCCCCTGGGACGGAGTGTGGGGAGTGAGCTGTCAGCACGGGCTGGCAGGCAGTGCGGTCAAAGGTCTGAGAGCGAAAGGCTGGCTTCACTGAGCAGAAGCCTGGGTTTGCTGCTTAAACTCCCATCTGATGCTGGGCGGGAACTCGGCCCTTTTTCCTGGAGAATATTCTTTATCATCTTTGCTGGGTACCAACGAGACGTGCAAAGCTATCTTCAATAACCAGCAGTCTAAGGCAGTCCGTCTGAACAATGTCTCACCTTGAATGCCATCTCCTGTAAGGCTCTCTTATTCAGACCTGCATGAAGTTTGTGATTTAAGTTCTTAAATCTGGTGAGCTGGGGACTCTGGCTCCAGGGCTCAGAGTGACCGTCTGCGTCCTCGGCATAAGACCCTGCCTGCCCTCGGATGACCCCTGCTGCAGCAAACTCAGCACACGTTTGGCTCAGGGTCCCCTGTAACCATCATTCTTGAGCTTCTGACAAAGAGGGGAAGTCAGACAAGAGAATGGTGCCTGTGAGGACAAACTCCATTTCAAAGGCAGGTGGTGACCGCACAAAGTCAGGAGGAGCCGGGAGAGCCGGGAAGAGCCGAGGCTGGAATGTCAAACTGATGCCGGGGCAGGCAGCGAGGAAGCTCTGTAAACTCTCAGACAGGAAATCCAGTGGTGGAGGCCCACGGGGAAGCAGAGATCAGAGCAGGGAGGCCAGGGAGGAGAGGCAGAGGCACAGCTGGGTGCTGCCCCTTAGGCCGTGGTTCTCACTGGGTGAAAGTTCTGTGTGCTGATGGGCAATGTTGATAAACAGAAAATATGCAGCTACTGTGTGGAAGGAGCAGGCTCTAATAGATTTATTTTCCTCTAGTGACTGCACAAACATTATAACAATACAAAATAAAACATGTCCTCTGCCTTTTTTTTTTAACCTTTTTATATTTTAAACACACGCACTGTTACAGTTTGTACAGCAAACGCACTTGAGCTCTTTTACAAAGCCTCAACCTCACCCCAAATTCCAGTCCCTGGGGACGGCAGAGATAGGACATGGGCCATGCGTCCCCATTAGATTCGTTCCAACACCTGACTTTACAATCAGCACTGACTAATTAAAGTTCTAACAAGTCCATAAAGTAGCATTTCTAAGACTATTTCTAAAAAGTCTGTTTAAAAGACCCCTTCCCGTCGGGACCGGTTTGGCTCAATGAATAGAGTGTCGGCTTGGGGACTGAAGGGTCCCGGGTTCGATTCCGGTCAAGGGCATGTACTTTGATTGTGGGCATATCCAGAGTAGGGAGTGTGCAAGAGGCAGCTGATCGATGACTCTCTCTCATCGATGTTTCTAACTCTCTATCTCTCTCCCTTCCTCTCTGTACAAAATCAAAATTTTTTTTTTAAATAAAAATAAAAAAATAAAAGACCCCTTCCCCCACCCCCACCCCCAAAATCAAGAAAACCCAAAGATGATTTTGAAAATCCGTTTGGCAACTGAAAGAGCAGACACACAGGAAGCCCGACGCCAGTCCGGGTCTCCCAGCTGCCATGCACCGTGGCCCCCAATGCCAGGGAGCTGCCTGTTCCCAGACTACCATGGGCACTCGGAGGACATGGGAGCCTCTTTAGAGCACTGATTCTCATGCAGTGGATCTCAGTCAGGCCCCGGATTTTGCATTTCTAACCAACGCCTGTGTGACGTCGACACTTGGAGCAACGAGAGTTTGAGACGGTTTTTCTGCCCCAGGCTCTCTCTTCCAGGTGATTCATCCCATTCTCACCCAACCTCTTTCTTCACCGCATTCATTCTCCTCAACAAGGCCCTTTCCGAGGTTCCCCAAGGTCCCTCCGATGGAAGCCCTGGCTCACCTGTCAACCTGCCTCTCACACCACTCACCGGAAGGAAAGGCTGTTCTCCTGAGATCACATCCCAGAACCACCTCTCATCTGTCTGTCTGTGTGCCCACACGTGCAACAGGG